TCAAATAACATATAATAAATGTCGTTTAATTTTTCTTTGTGAATGGTCTTGCGCAGTTTTGCTTTTTTAAGCACCTTTTAAAACTGTCTGTTGAATACTAAGTAGATCCTCACACCTCGACCTACTTCCACCAATTCTCTGTGACAGCTAAGGTAGGCGCACTTGACTTTCAGGGTGTATTATCTACTTCAGAAGTTGTATGGGGTAACTGGACACCAACACCTTAGAGCAAGCATCTATTTACTACTTAACTTTCGTGCTGTAGTCACTGTCAAATTTATTCCGAATATTCAAAGCAAAAATTATTATTAGTAGTATTCCACCTAGCATGAACTCTCCTTTATCATAAAAAATTTAAGATCTTCTAGGTTCGTAACTAATTAGATCAAAAATCATTTATTATTGTAGGAGGTAGCTGTGGCGCGTCAATGCAGTTAAAAATTAAAAACTCTATATTGATATTCAATACCGGTTCCCAAATCAAGAGCGAAGAACGAACGAGAAGAAATGGCTAGAATCTCGCCGCCACTCTTTTCATTGAGAAGGTTTTTTTACAAATTCTATGTTTGGTTCTGGCCGATCATTAAGGTGTAGGTATCTTATTTAAAATGAAACTTATGATTAATAGAACAGATACAGAAATATGTCTGCCCCATTTTTTCATAACGGAACTCCACTTTATTTACAAAGCAACATTACAGGACAACACATAAAAGTATCCGAAATTTACGGATTGCAGTAGGAAACTTAGTTAGTTCGCGTTTTAAACCGTAAAAGATTAAACACTGTTAGTTAACGCGAGTAGTACACATTAAAAATAAAACACTTTTAACGGTTTATGATTCTGTCTGTAGTTTACACGAGTAGTACACATTTAAATAAAATACTTAAAACGGTTTAAAACGTGAAATGTTACACACTGTCTGTAGGTTACACGAGTAGTTCACATTTAAATAAAACAATTTTATCGGTTTAAAATCAGGAATGTTAAAAAAAAAAAACGATAAAAAATAAATGGATGAAATAATTCAATATTTTATTTTACAAAGTAACATATAAATAGTATTATACTAGCTTTAAACTCTTTTAACGGTTAAAAACGTGAAATATTAGTGGTTTTTTATCAATGGACAAAAATATTAGATATTTTATTCTATTCTTTACAAAGCAATATAAACTTGCACAAAAGTATTATACTAGCTTCACAGACTGTGGTTTTAGAACTGTAAATTTAGATGGTTCTTACTTATTGAGTCTGCGAGTAGAATTAACTTTCAATAACATTTTACCACAAGATTTACGTCAAGGCATTCATTTTTCATTCGGCTATGTGTACTTATAGCGAATATATATAGTATATTTTGAAAATAAAACTTTGAAACAAATAATAAATTTTTATACATTTCAGTTTGATAGAAATTAAAAATTATTAAAGGTTGTGTATTTAATGGAATGGAATGGATTAAATTTTCAAAATTTTAAATTGAGTTTGTGAGAGTAGGACGTACCTCTCACGTCTCAATAAAACACTGAACGGTTTAGAACGCGACATATATTATCTTTAAAAAAATACGTATCTCCATAACAGCGATAATGGTGGTGTGGGATTATAAGGGATTTATTCCCCAGGAATCTATCCTGTTTGAGTTTAATTTTTAAAATGTCTCTATTTTTAAAAAGAAAAAAGTTCACTTAATGGTCAGTGAAATAGAAGATATTTTTTTGGCTTTGGATATTTGGAAATCCACGAATTGAAACCAAAACGATTATCCAGATTTCCAAACGAAATTTCAGAAAAATATAATTTGATTCGAAAATCGTTTGACCCGGTGGGAATCGAACCAGCGACCGGTTCTTTATTAGCGTACAGCGCTATCATTACACCAACGAGCCTAGCAAATACCTTCTTAATTCGGTATGGCCTGATTTTAATCAGCGTTTAAAAATCTTTGTATTATTTTAATAGGTCTATAAAATGTTTATGACTCCAGAAGCCAAGAATTGTACCAAGATTACGCGTGCCTTAGCCACGATACACTAGATTTAAAGCGAATTCCTTTTGTGCCCTTCAAGTTAAACCTGAGGGCATAAGACTGGAACAGGCAGTTTATATATAATATATTTTATTTTAAACCAATAAAATGTATCTGGACAGTCCCAGTACAAGTTTTAGAGTTCCCTTAGTAGTATATGAATAATTTAATAAAACACTGTAACAATATAAAACGCTCAGCATATTATTGTCTTTCGGGCTGTTCGGCCGATGTGAGCGAGAAGAGGTTCTCGACGTTTCGCCATCACGTGTGGACGGCATCTTCAGGAGATGTCAACATCTCCTGAAGATCGAGAACCTCTTCTTGCTCACATCGTCCGAACAGCCCGAAAGACAATAATATGCTGATCGATGGCCGTGACAGCCTTACTCAATTTAATATAAAACGCTATATATATTAGTTTTACTTATTTGAATATAATCTTAACTACGGCCCGACGTGTCGCATGCTTTGCAGCATCCGTGGTCACGGAGAGACTTCAAATAAGTTAAATAGTATATATCGCGTTTTAAACCGTTAAAATGTTTTAAATTTATACTACTCGCGTAAACTACAGACGTATATATAAGTTGATACATAAGTATGAAATATAGATTGATAGCTATATATAATCAATTTGTATACTACTAAAAACAAATCGTAAAATTATTTGAGTAAATTATTATTATTTTAGCCAGAGATACATTTATTTGTACTAGAAAGCTGGCAAGGACTTGGTCGTGACTTGTTTCATATATCTATGAATACGAAAAAATCACTTATATTTTTATTATTTTCTTTTTTTTAATACTGTCTATAGTACACTAGTAGTACACATTTAAATAAAACACTTTAACGGTTTAAAACGCGATATATTAGTTAAACTTATTTGAAAATGATTTTTAACTGCCCGGCCCGACGTTTCGGATGCTTTGCAGCAGCTGTGGTCATGGGAAGACTCCCCGTGACCAAGGCTGCTGTTGAAGTTTACCTAATATGTCGCGTTTTAAACCGTTAAAGTGTTTTATTTAAATCTTTTTTTGTTCAAAACCTTATCTAAGTTAAAATTAAACTAACAGTGCTTTAGAAACAGTAATGTGAAACCCAGACAGACAGAAGTAGACCCCACACCTCCTCTATATTAAAAGAAGAATGGATACACAATAAAGTTTTGTAAATTGCTCGCAAGTGTTTATAAAATTTAAGTATAACACGACACGTTTCCAACAAGCAATAAAGATAATTGCCAAGTGCAAAACGTTGATTATTACGAAGTGGCATGACATTGAAAATCATAACAAATTAACAAATTTGTCCTTGCCTGATAGTGCCATGGTAACTGAATTTGCGATAAAAAAATATGATTACATACAACGCTTTTAACAGTTTAAAACTCGACATATATGAAACTACTAGAGGACGAGTGAATTACAAAGGACATGATTTACAATAAAGAGGAAAAAAAAAATGCCCAATTAACTTAGGCTACTCTGCCTCAAGCGGTCTCAATTCTCATATCATAATTAATTTAGAACATCCAAAATGTACGGCCGTAGATAAAACTACTATTTTTGATAAGTACTTATTATCTAAATTTAACGAAAGTGGTAAATATTGATTTAAATACGAAACATTAAATTACTTGTATATTTCGCGTTTAAACTGTTAAAAGTGTTGTCATTAAATCCTAATATAATATGATTAGCCCCCGGGAATTTCGAGTAGATTAGAATAATGATTTAAATGAAACACTTTAACGGTTTAAAACGCGATCTATATTAGTTTACCTCCCCTCCTCCCCAGCCTCCCCGTTACCACGGCTGCTGCATCGGAAACTTCTAGCCGAAGTTAAAAATGATTCTCAGATAAGTTTAACTAAAATATATCGCGTTTTAAATCGTTAATGTGTTTTATTTAAATGTGTAGTGATAAACTACTCGCGTAAACTACAGATAGTATGGAATAATAATAAAAGGATATCGAAATGCGTTGCACCGGTGACCTATGAGACGTAGACAAACCTTTTATGGAGCGACGCCAGCTCGTGCTGTTTCGTAAGATCTCGGTGCGTGCCCTGTTAATGTATTGCCTCGAACCATTATCACCGTATGAAACAATAATATTGTTTCTGTATATTATAATTTCATATTCTTATATTTATAGCGTCTCACCTCAAAACCGCATTTAAAACTTACTTGGTTACATCGTAACTTTAAATCGAGTATAACTGTAGAGCCGCTGTTAGTCCTTGCCACTTATTTAACTTTAATTATAATTAGGAAAAATTAAATATTTTTAAAATTCTGTTAGAAAACATATCGTAGATATATAATAAAAATATATATATAAAAAACCTTTTGTCGGTCCGAAACCGATTGTATAATTAAATAAAACAGTTCTTACGATTTAAATCGCGGTATATTATATTAGTTAATTTATACTTAACTAGGACCCGACGTTTCGGAGGCTTTACAGAAGAAGACACGAAAACCTATTTAAAAGTATTGTCTTCGGGGTTTTGTTAAATGCCGGCTTAATCTAGAGTTAAATTATTTCGCGCAATGCAGGCCGAGCGCGCACGCGCATAATGGCACGTAAAATGTTTATATTCGCAGTGCGTTTCTCGCGCACTAACCGTTTTTGGTCCCGAATTACTTTCCATTTTAGTACGTTGCGATTTTCATTGTGCTACCAAATTCAGTTTTTGTATCTGATAAGATATTGTATGTGCGTTAAATGTTAAGTATGTGTTTCGCCGCTGTTGTTTTTCTATATCCTAAATATTTACTTTAATATTTACGTCAAGGAAGTTAAAAACTAAAGATTTTAAATTTACATTTACTTGTAATTTTATATATTTTTTGATAGAGTCTTTGTAAAAAAATAAAACTATTAATTATAAAAGATTGTTGTAACACCATGCAGGGGCCGAGAGACACATTTTAATGTTTATTCCTTTTGTTTCAGTTGGAAAACGTGCAGTGCTGCTTAGATTTCCTTCACGCCCAAAAAGTCCAGGGTTTAGAGTCAGTTACAGCTGTTGACATACGAGATGCTAAATTAAAAGCGGTGTTAGCTTTATTTTTCGCTTTAAGCAGACACAAGCAAGCATCAAAACAGAGAATAACGCCACCTAGCGGCCATGCAACGAACAGCGCTAAGAACTCAAACGAAGACGTTGCTGTGAGTTCCGTCCAACGCATAACAGGTGGCAGCAGCGGTGATGATATACTAACTGTCTGTGGGAATAACATCGATATGACGACGTTGGCAGCCAATAGGTAAGTTTATTTTGCAATATAATGATGTACGTAAGAAACCGGTCTTAATATAAATTTACTAAATTTCAGAAATTTTAAATACTGCCATCTCGTATCTCGTTTTAGAACTTTTAATGTTGTTAAACATTTGACTAATTTACTATAGATGTCACCTATACCTATTCCCACTTATTTAGTGCCCTTTAATCGCAAATATGTGTTAAAAGTCGAAAATAACATATATATGATCTCCATTTTACAATTTGCTATGATGATACTCGAAATCTATAATTATTACGCAATAAGCAATTTAGCCACTGTTCAATATGCTCCGCAATCTTATTCAAAACCATGACCAAATATTATTTAAATAAAATACTTAAACTGTTAAAACGCGAAATATATTAGTTAAACTTATTTTAACTACGGCCCGACGTTTCGGATGCTTTACATCAGCAGTGCTTACAGGAAGACAAACGAAGACCGTAGTAAAAATAATGTTCAAATAAGTTTAATAATTAATTTCGCATTTTAAAACGTTTAAGTCTTTAATTTGAAGGTGTACTTGCGTAACTTCTCACAGTGCAAATATTATGTAAGTCCTGAACTTGTTTTATCGTGAAGATATAAACTCTCATGTCAACCCTCTTGACTCCGGTCAACGCTTGTCTGTGCACAGACAATACAAGGATGTCACGTGACTCCACGTGACACTAGTCCATGAGCATGACACAAGATTAACAAGCTATTGTTTATCGTGCTCCGCTTGAAAGAGCTTAGGGTTCCCTCATATGTTACTGTAAGTCTTTTTTGAAAATCCCACTTGAGTGACTACCTCTGTAGCTGAATGGTTAAACTTGCCCAGCATTGCGTTAATAGCGAGAGGTTCTAGGTTTGCATCCCAGGGAAGAACAAATTGTTTAGGTCGGGGTGGGCAAAGAAATCAGACCAATTATTTCCACGTGAACAAAGCTGATTAGGTTAACGGACTTAAAAAATGTGTTCGCCCCATGTTACGAAGTTAGTTATTTTTCTACAAGTGTCACGGTATTCAGTACTTGTAAATTGATAGTTCTCAAAAATATTTTTTGGTATTAATAAAATGTACAACTTCCTGGCGCATCTGTTAGTTCTGTACAATGTCACTTCTAAAACATTAATTTCATGGAAACAGTGTAGGAAAATACATTTATTTTATTGTTGTTTTCTATTAAACTTGCAGAAGACTCACTCGCAATTTTTTTCTTACCAACTTTGTACACAACGGAATATTAACTCGTCGGGGTCACGAACTACTTTCAAACATCCACGAAAGTTTTGAAGTCTCCGACTATAATTGTAATTATTTACCTCCTATTTCTACCAAATGCCTAAAGTCAACAGTGCAATTATGTAAAAATAATTCTTTTTGTTTTTGTTGTAATAAGAAAATTACTTCATACGTTCTAAACATTAGCATCTTATTTAAACAAACTAATATGTACTGTCTGTAGTTTACGCGAGAAATACCTACGCATTTTAAATAAAAGACTTTTAAACGGTTTAAAACACGAAATTTATTATGTTTAACTTAATTGCATTTAGCAGCCGTGGTCTCCGAGGGACCCCATGTCCTCCCGTGACCACGAATGCAAACCATCAACCGTGCTGCAAAGCATCAGAAACAACGTGCCGTAGTTCAAATTAGTAATTAGTTTAACTAATACATTTCGCGCAGTGGCGTAGCTATCGTAGGGCCAGGTGGTGCAATGCACCAGGGCCCCGGAACTTGGGGGCTCTCTAACCTCATCTTTGAACAGATATAAGCGTAAGGTAGACCGGGGCCCTTCTCAACGTAGCTATGCTCCTGATTTCGCGTTTCAAACCGTTAAAAGTTTTACAAAACTCTGCTTATGTATGCTATGTTAAAACTATTCCCAATAACCGTTTCTTATATCAAACAGAGACGTACACTTTTATATATAAGATAAAATTCCACAAACTTGAATCCGTGCCTTTTCTTGGTTTTATTTAACTCTGTTTCGTGTATTATTTTTTATTTTTACACATCGTGCCTTTAGTGTTTAATTAATTCATACCTATTTAAACAACTTATTTCAGAATTTTACATATTTTTTAAATATATATACATAAATATAATTAATATGTGACGTACATTTTAAAGGCAGTTAGAAAGTAAATAGTTCAATAGCAGATAAGGAAGACAAGCCTAAAACCACGATCGGATACAATGGGACGGGTTACCAAAAAGGGACAGCTGTAGAACTTGGTTTAATCGAAGCGACTCGATTGTCCCTATATGTCAACTTGATACATACCGCAGCTTAATTTACCATGATTACCATTAACTTAATTTAATAAAAAAAATTACATTAACTTTTTCTGATGATCATTTTAACACCTTTGTATTTTTGTTTACTGTAGGGCTATAATCACTGAGTAATAAAATAAAGTATTGTCTGCAGTTATTTAGACAAATTTAAATAAAACCCTTTTGACAGTTTCAAATTTGAAATGTATTATTTACCCCCATGACCACGGCTGCAGTTTAGCATAAAAAACGTCGGGCCATCAAGATAATTGTAAATCAGTTAAATGATACATTTTGCGTTGTCCAAAATTTTTATTGTCAATTTATAATTTTATCTGCAAAATCTTGACCTTCTTTTGAAATTTAATCGCATTTCGGTGTCAGTGGGAGAATTTCCGAATATCCAAAAGCCATCTAGTTTAGTTGTTATACGGCTGAGATATTTCACCTGGCCTGTCTGTCCTCCTCTATTATAAAAAATCTAATTAACAACAAACAAATAATAATCGCTCAAGAAAAAGCAAATTTTTAATTAAATCCACAGATTTCAAGTATCGCAATAAATGTTTCTTATCGCGATCTTATTGACGTGTTTTATATTCGGAATAAACATAAAATGCAAAGGCCAGAGTGTAACGGTAAAATTGTTAGTGGGTCGAGTGGATCATCCCTCACGCTTGGCAACGTGTTTGCGAAGTGGCGATAAGTTTCATGTTGCGAAGTTTTACCTATATTCTATACTAATATTATAAAACTGAAGAGTTTGTTTGAACGCGCTAATCTCAGGAGCTACTGGTACGAATTGAAAAAATATTTCTGAGGAAGGCTATAGGTTATCACCATCCTGCGACCAATAAGAACGAAGATACTATGAAAAATGTGGAAAAAAATCAAGAAAATCTTATCTTTGTGCGGTTCCCGAAGCGTGCGCTTCGAAAACGGTTCATTGCACCCAAAAAATATATGTATCACAGAACGATTATCTTCTCAACTCTTTTAAGATTAACTTCTAACAGCTAAAATTTATAAAAATAAGTGCTACGTGGACGAAGTCGCGGCCACAGTATAACTTGAATAGTATTTATAGAACAATATATGCAAAAAATATTATGGTATGATATTTAAATCTCACATTTGCGCGGGAAAAGTAGAAACTATATATAACCATAATGTATTTCAGCTATGAATGTCTGTCAACCATTTTTGTCAACAGCCTGTTTTCATCATGATATGTTTATATTTCAACATAAGTGGTAGTTCGACCACAATGCGTCCACAAACATTGGATTGGACGAACTCAAGTTGTTTTGTTTAAAAGCAAATATTAGCAGAACGCATGCGTTTGTTTTGAATACCGAATTTTAAATTTATGACTGGACCTGATAGCACCAAATATTTAGATGGACAGTGAAATTCCGTTTCCAGCCAGAGGGGCATGGGGCGAACACATCTCTGTGAATTTCACTAATCGGTTTTACTTACAAGTCCTACTACAAGTATTACAAGTAGTTTACTTGCAAGTAGTTAATAAGTCTGTTCCCTGACTTATCTATTCCCCGGGATTCGATTCCAGGACCTACCACGCTTAACGCTATACTAGGAACCACGTTTAACCGTTTAGCTACAGAGACGGTCCAGTGAAATTTAAAGATAAGCAATGTATTATTATGAAATCTACGGTCTGACAGATATGACCAATAAAGGAAATATACAACTTCTTTTGTACAATTATTAAATTAGGAAAGCTTTTAATTACGATAACTACATTTTATCACCGATTATTATAGAAAAAATAAGCTTAAAGTAATTTTGAGAGGCAGGTTTGATTTCCGGCGAAATTGACAGACGTCAGATTTGTCTGTTAAACAGACATTTAAATATATCTTATCTCTTATTTCGCAAGCAACCCGAGGTTTGAAGGGTTATAATGAGAGATAGCCCAAAGTCCTCCGCAGAAAATAACCCATTTCTTCTTTCTTGAATGGATGAAATAGTTTCTTCTATCTGTGTCCTCATTAAAAAATAATATTTATAATAATAATATCATCCCCACCCCACACTGGGGAGATTAATATTTTTAATATTAAAGTTACAAATTCGTTCTCACCTAGAGTGTTATGCTTTTCATTTATCCCATTTTCTTTATGGAAAAACCTCTTCGGTATTTTTAATGAAAATATTTTTCTTTCTGCGTAATTTGTTATTACACTAAGGCCCCGGCTAACCGCTACAGCTGGTTCGAGGAAATTAGAAACAACAGTGAAATTACATTTGCAATGCAGATGGAAATATTCCTTGTTTCCCACGCCCTGTACTTCGATTATTGTTACAACATAAATTTAAAAATCTACATCACTACAATTATTATATGTTAATGAATATAGGTTATTTAAATTTTATTTTCGATTGTAACAATTAATTCCACGGTGAAGAGTTGAATCCACGACCACAAAATTCCGTGCTATTGTTCTACCAATTGAGTACTAATTGAGACTATAAAGTGTCCGCTTGTAATATTCGGTTTGAAAGTTATTGTTGCGCAGTTACAGCATGTTTTTCAATGGTAAATAAAATTGACATCTTCACATAGATAGTACTAGTTGTCTTGATATATAGATAGTACCACAAATATAGTACAAAATAGCAAAACATGAAAAACTTTATTATTTTTACATGTTATTGCACATGAAGGCACTATATAATTTGCCTCGGTA